TCAACAGCACACAGCAACAACTCAACAATTAAAAGGTTTAGAAATTCTGTTTTTAAGAAACATTAAAATTTTCATGATATAACACTTTTGATAAAATATAGAAAAATATGATTAGAATCCCAGAATGAGGTTTCTGATATATATTTATTTGATGTTGTTATTCAAGGAATTTGTACTTTTTCGACTTTTTTTTTGTACAGACTTTGTGTAACGTACGTTTCACAAAGTCTGTAAATTGTCCTTGCTATATAATAAATTTATATTACTTTCCCCTCTAATATTGGTCAGGGTTTTTTGTTGATTTTTTAAAAATTTTTTTAGGTGGTTTCTACCAGTCTTGAACTCAGCAGCACTATAGTGCCAGGCAGAGTAGATGTGGCACTCTCTAGAGATGCCAGATGAAAAGAACTCTCGTGAACCAGCAACTGTTCTTCTCCACCTAATTCTTAAAATAAAAGCACTGAAACTAGTGGAGCAAGAAGCGCTTTCTGGAATAATCAGAACAAAACTAAAATACCTGTGAGGAAGTCTTGGCGTTTGCAGTTGTGTTGCTTGGAGGTCTTTCTTTGTGCTTCAATGAGCAAGCTTTGCCCTCCTGTAAAGGGAGAAAGCAAAATAAGTTCATGAAAAATCAAGCTCTTGAATTCTTCTCATTGAGAAAGTTTTATTACTTTGAGATAATATTCTCACACTGTGAATGGAATCTTCAAAAAGAGATCAGTTACTCATGGTGGCTTTTAGTGGTTCTGTAACAAACAGTTACTAAGTTATTCATCTGTATAAAAATTTATATAAAGAAAGATAAAGGATTATAAAAACTCAGAATCTTTTGCTCATCTTGGCTCTAAGCAGTAAAATATATCAACAATCTGTATGCCTTCAGTAACATTGGATATATGAAACCAGAAGCAATGTAAAAATGGTAGCAATCAATATATCTTGCAAAACTCATTCTCAGTATCTTTTTTTTTAAATTTTTTTCATTCTCAGTATCTTAAATAAATGATATTTCTGGAAATAAAATGTTACAGTTCACTTATAAGACCATCTCATTTCTTAGTCTTAGAAGTTTTGAAGGTGATGAAAGTCAGCAGATTGTTTAGCATAATAATTATTTTGAGTGTGAAGCT